TTTAGGGTTTAGGGTTTAGGTTAAGACTTCGGTTTAGGGCTTTTTGGGCTGATGAGAAGCTCTAATCAAGGACCCCCCAAGGTTCCCGCAGAGGTTCTGCGAAGAGTTCCGCAAGGGTTCTTATAACGGGATCTACAAACAAAAGTTCCATCAGGAGTCTAGACGCGGGTCTCTCTGCCAAGATTTTAGTTGTAAGGTTTCGTGCTGGAGGTTTCTGGTTTTGAGGTTTTGAGTGCAGGGTATAATTCGGTTTAGGGCGTGAAGAGCACCCAAGACTATTCCCCATTGGAGCTCCATGTAAATCAATTCTGTGTAGGTAAAGACTTGTGTTGACTCAACCAAACACCCCTAAACCCTACGAAACTAAGCCCTAAACCCCAAGATGAAAACACTAAAGCCCACACCCTAAACCCTGAGAGAAAATTAAAATCTTTCCGAATTGGTTGCTAGAGTCATGTAGAAAAGCTGCTCGAGATCGACCTTCCCCGCTTCAGGGGTCGCGAAGTCTTTTTCTTCAGGGTTTCGGGTTTGGGGGTGTATGTAGGGTCTAGGGGCTTAGGCCTTAGGGGCTTGGCATTGCGGTGTAGGGTTTAGGCTCGGGGCCGGTGATAGAGTGTCCGATGTGAACTGCCAGGCCCTGAAGCACTGACCCTCAACTGTAAATCAGGACGAGCACAAAGCAGGCAATAAGGGTGCTTCGACAATCATACAGATTTGTAGGTCCAGGTGGACTAACTTCCGAGCGTAATCAACCCCTTACGTTTTCAATCTGATTTCACGTGCTCGCCAGTCCGAAAACTACTTTCGCCCGCCTTGGCCGCATTCAGGCGCTTGAGACAAGAGAGCTAGTAGTTCACGGTTGAAGGTTGGCTAAACAGAAGAAGCAGGCTGTGGGGCAGCTTCCCGCACGTCGCAGAGAATGCACAAGGTTCAGGAATGTAATTCCCCTCATAGACGATAGATAGCTCAGACAAGGTGGCTCTGGGCCAGCCCAGGGTTCAGGGTTGAAGCACGCGGCGCAGACCCTGAACTCTCATAACTGGCTGCTCGAGTGAGTGACCATAAAGTCAAGCGAGCCTTTGCTATGATGCTGGCATGCTTCTTGTTGCTACAATCTTTCTGCTTTTCACAGTGTGTCTACTTGTAGGGTTGTTGCTGAAAGAGATGCTGCAGCCTTGCAGTGCAACCCACAGCGAGCAAGCCGTGCGCTCACGAAGGGGTCGGAGTCGTGGACTGCTCCGCACAAGCCGTACAAGGGCTCCATAGGTCGACGGTTCACCCTAAACCTTAAACCCTAAACCCTAAATATGAGCCTGGCTGGACCATTGCCGTGGAACCTCTGGTCTTCATCCAGGGCACACATGATTTGGGGTTTGGGGTGTAGGGGTCTGGGGGTCTATGGGTCCATCTTCTAGCATACTGTAGAGGTCCTGGAAATTAATACTACTGTACCTGAAAGGGCGCCCTAATTTGATACTAGACTATAGCCCAAAGCCCTATTCCAATGATTGAGGCCCCGAAATATTACTCGCGGATCTTCTCCTAGGCCACAGACGCATGGGGTGAAAGAATGCTGATGCTGGGACGCTCTTAAGGCAAATTCAGGGAAGATGCCCTAGATTCCCAGTCCTACCACCCGTGGAAGTAAACAGCTTCGGCAAGGCATCTAAGAGCAACCGAGACAGGGAGATCGGAGGGGGCTTGAACTTTGGTAGGGAGTAGACGTTTATCTGTTGGGATTGGAGAAGCTGTCTCCAGATGTCTCCAGATCAGTCTCTCGTAGACAGTTTTGGAAAGGCTGCTACTACGCAGGGGATATGGGTTAGATACATTGGACTGCTGAACAAGGTATGCCTCATCGATGTCCATCACGCGCAGGCGGCTCTGCAGCTCGCGATCCTCTTGCAAAGCTGCCGCAGACTACCCTCAAACCTGAAACCTGAACACTCAAGCCATTAAGCCCTAAACCGGAAAGGCGATTACCCTGAGCACGAATCGTTTTGCAGCTAGGACGCCGGTTTAGGCCCTAACCCCTAAAGCGTGAAGTCTCTCCCCTATCTTCTAAATCCCAGCTCTTGACACAGGAGGTCAGACAGGACAAGGCTCAGGGTTTCAGCCCGTGGCACGCCAACAACCGTCTTCTCCGCTGAACTCGAGCCGAGGGACACCGTAGCCATGAGACGTTAGGGTTTGGGGTTTAGGGTTTAGTTTGGGGCTTGGGCAAAACTAAAGGGGGGCGAAGCACTCGAGGTGGTGTTCATTGACCTTGTTGCCCGGCTCTCTAGGAGTAAGTAGTAGAAGTGCAAACTCCGTGCTCAAGTAAACCTATATAGGTCATCCATCCCCAATCCTGACTTGAACCTCAATCTGAAAGCATGGTGGGTCCTTGCGCACTCCCTGGATCAGCTCAGACAAGGTAACCTTGGCTGAGGGGTGTTGTCCGCCTTGAAAGCCCAAACGTGTAAAACCCCTTACATACCAAATCGCAAAACCCTAAGCCGTATAACATTGAAACCCAAGACCCTGATCCCATAACAGTAACCTCAACCCTAAACCCTAAATCCAAAACAGTGCACCTAGACCGGCCGCCAAACCCCGACACAGCGCCAAACCTGGAACCTCAAAATTCGTGACAGGGCCAAGAGTTCTCCGGGCCGTTGAAATTCGGGTTAAACGGTTTGGGGTTTAGGAGTTGCGTTGGGGCTTCCTAAACTCTGACTTGTGTACTTACGACTGACGGGTCATATACCGAAAACTGGTGAACAAATCTGCCTGAAACCCAGCCTCCAGCACTGAACCACGTTTTCCGCGGCCCGAAATCCTGACCCCCTGCAGACACGAACAACATTTCAAACGCACAGCCTTGACACGATCTTATGAAAGAAGGCCAGGGCCCTTTTCTGAGGAGGGGCCTCACTGGGCCCTAAACCCTAGAATTTCTATCCCGTCTTCTTTAATCCCGAAGCTTCTGGCCTAAAGCTCTGATACTCCTGATTAGCCTCAACCATTTCCTAGTCGCTTATCATAGGGGCCGTAATGATCAGAACAGGATTCGGGGATCAGGTTGAGGAACCTGCTAATCTAGGGACCTTCATAATTAGAATATGGTTTTGGGGTACTTTGTGGCAGGATTAAAATAAAGTATTGAGGCCCCCTATACCATTTTAGTCCCTGGCTCAGACAACTGGTAGGTTTAGGGTTTATGGCTCACTTGTGGCTTTTCGCCTCTACATTATTGTTAAGAGGGCTCTGTTCCACCCGACTACGTAGGCCCACGAAACCCCTAATGTTACGGCTTTAGCGTTAAGTGCTTGAGCTTGCGCATGCAAGCGAGACATTGCGAATGCATGTATACCTGAGCATCGGAATACTCTGGAAACTCTTTTCAAAACACCTAGCTTAGACACATCTGTAAGAATCCCAAACGCCCAGACCTAAATTCCCAGTTCCTACCAAACCCGAACATTGCCCAAACCCTAAAGCTTAAACCAGAAACCCCAAGCCCTCAACTCTGAATCCGAAACCCCAAGCCCTAAACCCGAAACCCGAAACCCCAAGCCCTAAATCCTAAACCTGAAACCCAAGCCCCAAGCCCGAAACCCCAAGCCCCAAACCCTTTATGACTTCCCTGCCTTTGCCTAAAGAGCCCAGAAGCTCCATCCTCGTCCTCATCTTCCCGCTCAATGCGTTTCTTAGCAGCTCACGCGTGGTCTTTGAGGTTTAGGGTTTAGGGTTTTGGGTTTTGGGTTTAGGGGTTTTGGGTTTCGGGCCTAGGATTTAGGGCTTAGGATTTACCTTTACGGCCTAGGTTGAGGCTTGAAGGCTTACGCTCTTCGTGGCTGCCATTATTGCTGGTTTCTGCTACAGGGCGCACTCATGATGGCCACCAACCCTCCAATCCTTCGATATACTCTTAAACTCGCTAGTTAGGACAGGGCTGGTCGTCTTGATTTTGCTCTATGTTGTCAAAGTGCGGGCAACTATTCAAGCTTCTCTTGCCCAGATGCGAACATCTTGAGAAGCTGCTTCTTGTCGTCTTCGTGTGTGAATTCCAGCTCCTGCTGCTCAAGCGTACACAAACGAATCGTAACCCCTCAAAAGGGTCCCTACTCTAAGCTCGACCATTGCCCGAGCTTCCTCCCGATTGCGATCCGAAGACACGCTCCACTGATGGGGCTTCGTACGATTTCGACATCAGTTGTAGACTGAATGGCTCTCCCGTGCTCCTCACAGGCTCTGGGTGTGAGGTTTCGGCTTGTCGCATTGAGGGCGAGCCCTTGAATACCAAAATCTCCAAGTTCCCTAAACCGCAAACCCAAATGCCTCAGCCAGGTTCATCATGTCTCGGTCCTTAACCGCTTTGTCGGAGAGCTTTAGGCTCGAAGCTCTAGGGGCTCAGCGGCAAGAAGGTTTTTTTGGCAGATTGTACCAAAGCTGTGCAAGATGATGCGGTAGGCGCGTTGAGCTCTTGGAGAAGCCGCACGTGAGATTTCAGGAAGGGTTTGCCTTGAGAGCGGGCGAATGCCCGCACACGGGTGCATACACCCAATTCAGGCGGCCATGAGGGAATTGCCGTACTGCTGAGACATCTAAGCTGGCAGAGGGCTCGCGACAGTTAGAAGCAGGATTTCTACACATGAGCACATATGGCAGCACAGTTAGAAACTGCCTTGACTATCTGTATATATCAAGAAGCGGACTTCCAGATGGGCAAAAACAACAGCCCAGATGTTCGGTTCATCAAGCCCTCAACCCCAAACCCAAAGCATCATGCTTTCAACCAGATGGACCGATGGCATGAGCAGCACAGGCTGCAGGGTCATATTGTCGTGTACGACGAAGGCTCGCCAGATTGCTTGTTGCCACTTTGCGCCGCGTGTTGGCATGAGGCCAATTTCAATCGCACTTAATTTCTTTGTCTAGTTGTGAACTAGAGTCTTGATACATTTACAGGCAGTACGATGGTGGCTCGGCACAGTGCGAGCATGCTCACATGCTCA